AAGAGACATAACACACATAGCTAAATAATTCTACTCAACCAATCTCATACTGTGCTTCCTCCTCTACTACTGTAGCTCGCCGGTGTCAGACTCTCTGCGTGCTAGCTACTAGTGTGGAGACCACGAGTAAATGTATAGTTCAAAGTTCATTTTGCAGGACCCGAGGGGCATATGCATACAGTCAAACTAAACATGAAATCTGAAGTTCCAGTCCAGATAATCGGAAATACGATAGAGCCCCCTGCTCTGACTCCAACCGGAGCATAATCTAGCACCTGGCGACCAGATAGAGCCCACGCTCTGCTGGACAGCTGAACTTGGGTCGATGACTCGTAATCTCGGCAAATGACAGCCACATTTTCTGACTGCTGGTCAATGACACAGAACAGAGGTGAAAATCACCTCGTACGGAGGCACGGTCGCCATCTCGCACACCACCAATTCCTCGCGCCTGCCAGCCAATGCGTAAACAGTCCGACTGAGGCCGCTCGTGCGCGCGCTCTACTGACTGCGCGCGAATCTGCGCGCACGGCGGAAGCTAGACTTCCTACGAATGACGGAAGTTACACTTCCTAAGCTTGACTAATTTACATTAAGCGTGACGACACGTACGTACGTACGTACGCATATCGCGAGAATACAACCCGGAGTAGTTGCCTCGCGCTAATGCGCTCGGCAACCATATAGATGAATTAGCAGTATAGCGCATGCACAGTTTTCCCGAGGGTTTACACTTTCATTTTCTCAGGACACATGATCTCTATGCAAAAAAGAAATGAGAGCTCTCTGAAAGTAATATTCACACTAGTCTTAACACTTTGGACACCTACACAAAATTGCTGCAATGCATCAGTGTTAAACATATCCGGATTACATTACATTTCCTATAATCATGTGTGTTAAAAGCTTGTAGATCTACATAATTATCAAATGTAGTGCCTCCTCTGCCTATGCCCTTTTAATTCTGGTATATACTAACCGATAAAGTGAGAAAAATAGGTGTATTCATAAAGTTGTGAGAAGTTCAATATATTACAAGTAGAAAAATCATTTCTTCAAAATGAAAGGGGAATATAGGGATAGCTTGAAGCACCAAAAAAAGGAAGAAACAAGGGGTCATTACACAGCAAAGTTGAACAAAGCTACATGACACCATCCCTATATCTTTGTTCAATATTAAACTTTGCTTATAAACAATAAAACAAAGATATAGGGATGGTGTCATGTAGCTTTGTGCAACTTTGCTGTGTGATGACCCCTTGTTTCTTCCTTTTTGGTGCTTCAAGCCATCCCTATATCCCCCTTTCATTTTGAAGAAATGATTTTTCAACTTGTTTCCACTATTTTAACAGCTTATGACAACACTGCATTTATTGTTACAGTTACTCTGATGTTCATGGGTATGTTGTATATATGACAAATTGTAACTGTTGAAAGTAGTTGTTAATGGGGCTGCTAGTGCCTGATACGCATTCACCTCATGTTTTGTCTTCAACAAGGATGTAATTAGATTATTGCACATGGTTGCGGTTTCATGGGCAGGCTTTGGTAATCAGGCTACAACCTGGGGGGGGACAAACAATGAAGGCCCATTTGACTGAGCGGCGTGCGCCCCGCAAGGCTCGCGTAACTCTGCGCAGACTCTGCCAAGTTGCTCTTCGTGCAAACCAACAGCAAGCCAGCTAGTTGGAAATGTGCACACTTAGTTACAGAAGGTAGCTACTGGAGGCTGAGAGTTCCTCTGCAGGTCTGCCAACTCGCCTGGTAGAATACGCTCGCAAGCGTATTGGACAACGCCCCTGTCTGGCACATGCGCGCGGCTCACTGGTGCTGAGTTAGCAGCAAATGGTGTCGACCATTTGAACTTGAAGAGCTCCATGATCTACCGTAGTGACTAGCGGCAAGAAAGAAACGATCGCTTGATGTCCGTGCACACCTCCGGCGAAATCGGAGACCTTCAGTGAAAAAATTAGTGCTTGAACTGGTAAGGAGATAGCGGGTTTAAAGAAGAAGAAGAAGAATTATGATGACAGGAAAATCGTGAAATCGCGTAAGCGCGAATTCTCTCGTGGACGACTGAAGGTGCGTATGAGGTCTTGGGGGACATGTATAGGTAGATATGGGCCCGTAGACTATATTGCTAGTATGTTGTTAAGGCCTAGGGAGTGATTCTCACCGAGTTTTTGGTCGTTTTGTACGCGGGTCACGTGAGATTTCACCCGTGTCATCCCTATATAGAGAGTCTACCGACTCTCTGATACCTGTAACACCCATGGTAGGTAAAGAGCTACATCGTATGATGATGGAGCATCCTCATATCACGGAGCAGTCTCGGTGCTTTTAAAACTTTGTTTCTCCTAAAAGGAAGTAGTATGTGCTACTGCATGAAGTTGCGTTCTACTCTGTGACTCTCCACAAACAAAACTCCTTTACAAAAGGTTTTAGTGGTAGCTACAGCATTAAAATGATTATTCCAAACCCCACTCCAAATGGCACACCAATTATCAGCTCCAGTTCTCCTGAATAAAATTATAGTAATGTAGCGTCCGAGGCCTTCGTTGAAGGTGGTCGTAGCGCTCTTCCTCGGCCGCTATCGGTGCTTGGCGCAACAGTACTTTCAGATGGTCACCATTGAGTACAATGATAGGGGAGAGCTCCCGACTGACCAGGACATACAACTTTTATACATAGCCTTACACAACTGCGCATGCACAAAAATGTTCTCGAAATTTCTGTCGTAACAGTAATTTTTTTTCAGGCTCACGTAGTTCTGAAGCCGCTGGTATCGCTAATAGGCCGCCTCGTAGCCAGTAGTGCCAGAATAAGCGTCGACACACAGACAGACAGACGGACAAACCAACTACTGTAAACCTCGCTGCGCATGATAGTTGGCTTTTATCATTTCCACTATTCGTTGTCCATTACAAAGACTGAATCCAGCGTATAACAATTGTTAACGAGCAAACATGAACAACTTAGCTATAGACCATGTAACTCTCCATATAAATTTCATCTACACCACTGAATTGGCATTTTATATGGGACAGAAATGTTCATTACAAAAAGAACATTAAAAAGGTATTGTTTCTTTACTTTGTCAGCTGGGCTATAGAAGCGTTGAACATGTGTGCTCCATGTGGGACTCTCCCCTACTCCTTCCAACCATTTGTGCAGAATTTTCAAAGTGTGACTTCCCCAGACAGTCGTGCTTGATCACATTGACAAGAGAGCCAATCTCGTCGTTGAGGAGAAGAACACCAAATTTTCCATACTCTGTTCCAACAGCCTCAAGAATGTCAAGATCAAGAAGTTCTGGAAGGGTTGGTTTTCTTGCTTCCACGATAGGAGCTTCAAACTCAGCAAGATATTGGTCGCTTTCTGTAGGAAAGGTCACACGTGTTTGTTAGATCAAACTGCTGAGCTAGGTTGTTTCATTTTCCTTACCAGTTAGTAGCTCAGTTTTAATCTTTATACAGTGCCAAACACATCCACAGCTCCCCACAGAGGTTGATTTACTGGAAGCTTAGATCCAGCACACGTAATATACCGTCCATCAATGTAGATGTGAAGGCAGCCATCTGCTGATATTAAAATACCTACACTTCTCTCAGTCTCCAGCTCTTCTAGATTAGGAAGACTATTTGATATAGGTACATTGTTGTGCCATAGTGATGAACCGCTCTACTTCCAGTCATAGGGACCAGAGGCAAGAAGATAGGCTGGAACTTCATCCGGTAGCTTCGTAGTCACTTCAATGCTCTAAAAATGTAAAACATGTGCCTCATTACCAGGTCTTTCTTACCTACATTTCGTGTCACTGTCATTGGAGAATTGACATGTTTATCTACATGTAGTGAGGGAAATGCACAAGGGCATTTCCAGTACACTGAGTTCTGAGATCTCTTGCACACCCATAGAAACTACAGCAAGATTCAGCGTTGTTTTTAACTCCATTTGACTCCATAATTCATTAGCTATGGAGTATTTCAAAGCTGAGAGTGTGACTGATGCCTGAAAGTCAAAAGTGTTGGTGTATCATGGACTGAAACTTTCTCACCATTCCAATTCCAATAGCACCCCAAGTTATCTTAGCCTTGTGGATAGTAATCTGCCACACTCGTTCCAGTGGCAAAGGGTCCAGTGTGTAACAAACACAGCCGCCCCAATCATTCTTATGCCGTCGCCGCTGGACAAGGGTATTATCTTCAGAGAAAACAGCTCTTGCCCCACTCTTTTTCTTGCTAAAAGGAGCAGGTCTACCGATCCATTCATAGACATCACGAGGAACAGATTCTGCCATACTTGTATATAGCTAGCTAGCTAATGAGCTAACTAGCTATAGAGGGAGCATATAATATTATAGGTCAGATCAAAGGGGAGGTTGAGGTTGGGTCGCCAGACTACAGGTGACATTAGTCATTTCATGCACTAACTGGCCCTGCTAGCTGGGCAGAGCGTCGCAGAGCGAGCCTCCTGATGCACTAAATGGCTTACAACAACAAACAAAAGGCCAGAGATATCTTTGTGTGCTTCTCTAGGACAGGTCTGTTTGGCACACACGAATTGTACTGCAGGCATAATAGAGAGCCAGAGTGTTTTGCAAGTGAATGAGTTTTGATATATTATTATTGCAAAATGACAATGCACATGGCTAAATAATTCTCCTCAAACAATCTCATACGGTGCATGCCTCCTCCTCCTGCCCCTTCTCATCCAGGGAGGGTGATAGGTCTGGAGCTGTGTGAATTGCATCCATTTCCATCCCACCACCAGAATTTGCTAGTCCCATCAGGGCCATTCCTGTTTCTGCCTTTATTACTCCATAGGCTTCATTACTAGAGGTCTCAATCCCGATACCATTCACTTCGTTGGTTGAGGTCCTTCTGTCTTTTTCTGGTGCAATTTCTGCGGAAAGGTAAAATGCACAGTGAAGAGAGTTAGTGAGATAGTTAGCCTACTTTTTCTGCTGAGTCTTGAGTACTACAACAATTACAGTGATAGCAACTGCAACAACAATTAAAACTATGACCATCCCTGCAACAGCTCCACCAGCAATAGCAGCAGTATTGCCTGACCCAGAAGCAGATTCTGTGAAAAGTGTAATATTTTATACTATACTATGGTGAATTGTGTATCACTATGCTATGAGGTATACCTGTAACAGCAATGTGCTGCTGTTGACTTTGTCCTGGGCTGCTGGTAGTGATGTAGGGAGAGGAGGAGGCAGCATACACCTCACAATAGTACAGTCCAGAGTCAGAGAGTAGCAGAGCACTGAGAGTCAATATTGAAATGAATGGAGATCTATCACTAGTGGGAGGAGACAGAGTGACTCGCCCATTGCTGATATCTGCGGTCCAGTTGATTGTGATGTTGACATCAGTGTCCACCCAGGGTGGTAGTGTGGCAGTGCAGGTCAAGGTGAGGGAGGTCCCCTCATTCAGTGCACCACTGGAAACACTCACAGTCACAGTCGGAGCTGGCACTGCATTGTAGTGTATTAGGCGATAAACCACTCGGAGTGACATATTTTCTCACAGTAGGAATTTAAAAATCAGTCACGGCTATAACACTTATTTTTTTTAAGGTAGTAAGCTAAAAGCCAATGGAACAGCTCTCATAAGTTTAAAAAAGGCGAGTTTTTGTATAACTACTGCGTTCAAAAGTTATGGCGTGAAAAGCAAGTGAACAAGCCAATATGCAAATTAGAACGGGCTTACCTCGACAGGGTCCGCTTGCTCTGTGTATCTTGAAGGCACAAGAAGTCACAACGAAGGGCGTGTATCGACTCTCGCATGCTATCTACCACTGTAGCTAGTCCGCGTAAGACTTGTAGTAAACCCCGTCGAAGTTTACTACGGGAAATAGTAAACCTCGGCTTTGCAATCTGATTGGTCAATTCGAACCAAGCTTACTCTAAATTATGTACACATTCACATAGCTGTAGCTTACCAATTGTGAGTTACACTGACACATGTAGTATAATGTATTGCATGGGGCAATTTTGTTGTTGTTTACAAACCAAAAAATTATGACGTTGCACGTGTACATTCCTGCAAACTTAATTAACCCTCAGAGCGCATGGGGCAGCGAGGGTTATGGTAGTTGGTTTGTTTGTCTGTCTGTGTGTGTGTGCGTCGGCGCTTATTCTGGCACTACAGGCTACGAGGCGGCCCATTAGCGATACCAGCGGCTTCAGAACTACGCAAGCCTGAAAAACAAAATAGCGATTTTCCTGAAACGACTGCGTTCGAGAGCGACAAACTGGCACGGTCGCGAACCGCTTTGCGTGCCCCAACCCATCAATAAGCGGTGCGCATGCGTATATAAGATACGATCAACGCGGTAAACTGGCTCACCTCGACCTGATCCGCTTGATCTGTGTACCTTGGAGGCACAAGAAGCCACAGCGAAGGGCGTGTATCGACTCCCGCATGCTATCTACTACCGTAGCTAGCCCGTGTCAGACTCTCCGCGAGCTACTAGCGGGAGACCGCGGGTAAGCGCGAATAGCCCGGCCCGTCATTAGCGACACCGCGCATGCGCATTTCTCCGAGGGTTGCACTTCTAATCTCTTTCGGTTTTTGAGTTATGCTGGTTGAAGAAGAAGATGAAGATGAACAAAACTCCCTATCATAGCTCCATACATCTATGACGCTAGGTACCATGCCCATCCCTATATACTAAGTACTACCGTACTTAGTGATATACCCACAAAATACTAGAACCATTTTTGCCAAACAACCGCACGAAATGATGTACATGGATGCAACATAGCAAAACTATGATATTTGACAACTGGGTAGCTAGCTTTGCTCAGCCTCACACAGGCCTTTTTGAAAACCAGTACGTGTTGCAATGTGCATAAGGAGGTTAGTTGAATTGTGCTCTTTGTTGTCTAGCTACTATACAATTATTTTACTGTTTCTATGCCAACACAACTTTGCTCGAAGACTTGCAAAGAGTGCACTCACACTAAGCACTGTACTTCAATACAATCTACACATGATCACTACCTATAAACAATTTACTTCCTCTCTGCCCCCTCAATCTTCCTGTTGCTGAAGAGTCTAAAGAATTCAGGCTACTAACTTCCTCAAAAAATATGAACAAGTTAGCTACTTCCCTTATGCCCAGTCAATCTTCCTGTAGCCGAAGAATCTTAAAGAATTCAGGCTACTAACTTCCTCGTGAGTAAAGAACTAACTTCCTCAGAAAATGTGAACAAGTTACTTCCTCTCTGCCCCAGTCAAACTTCCTGTGGCTGAAGAGTCACTGGCGCCATCCCTACATAGAGCATCTACCCAAAGGGTTAATTAATTGTGTCATGAAAGGAATGTGATAATGATTAATCTGCATCCAATTACAAGCCTTCCTTGACTCTCTTTACCAAAGATAAAGATATATATAATATCTCTTCCTCCTCTTTAGCGAAGGGAAGTAGCTATATAGTGTTAGCCTGTGCAAACGAGGAAACGTGAAATCACAATCGTCAATCTTTCCATCCTCCTTACATATTATAGCTTCGTTGTTGCTTTGCAAGGAAACTTGAATTCAAAACAGCAATACTATGTTAGAGATTGATTGTAGCCACTTGTGTGTTAGAGTGCTTCCATAAGTCACCAAATGCATAACTAAACCGGCAGCGTAGCAAGCTACTAGGGCTATCTACTACAAAGCAACAATGAAGCTATATAATGAAGGTGGGGAAAGGTTCACCATTGTGCATTCTAGGAGTGGTATTGCAAACGCGCATGCGCAATCCCCGAATCACGCGCCAACCTCGCTCGCGCACCTATAAAAAGGAGTTGGTCACACATCGTAACACTGCTCTTCTCCGCCAGGAAAATATTTTTTCAATATTTGCTACCAATCTACAGATTTCAGCAGCCAAAATGTCTCAAGCGGAACTTGTCAAGGCACTACCTGAATTACTAAAGCAGGGTCTGGAAGTGTACAAAACTCTGAAAGACGACATGTCGCGGGCGTTGGGACTAAAACAGTACGCCGAGCATCTCTCCAACATCGTCCAGACTTTCAAAGAAGTAAACAAGTATCTGGACGACAACGAGAACGCCAATTTGGCGAAGCTCACCGCGGCTCACGCTAAAGCACAAGAGGGTATAGACAAGGCCGCAGTAGTGGTGACGGTTATAAAGGAACAAAGCGGCGCGTTGGTTAGCGTACTCGACCCGTCTGCAGTCGGGACGGACCAGGAGAAAATGTGGGCTGCCTGCCATTATTTTTCAAGCTTCGTGAAGGACATGGAAGAGAAAGTGATGGAAGCTGAAGGTGCGCTGCGTGAAGCTGGCAACATATTGCAGGGAGCGCAAAACGATTTGCTGTCGCTCGTGAATACGCTGAAGCGAGTCCAGGATCAGTTCGTGGTAGAAAAGAAAGCGGCAGAAGCAGAGTCGCGGGCCGCAGCGTACGGCGGAGCCCTAGTGGGACTGGCTTATGGACCGATTGGCCTCATAATCACGTACAGTATCGCAGCCGGCGTAACGGAGGGTCATACCATTAAAAACATTGAGAAGGACTTTCAAGCGCAGCGAGACACCATCAGTGGCTACATAAAAGGCTTTGAGAACATGTCGGCGGAGACGAAAGCGCTGCAAGCACAACTGGACGCTAAACGAAAGCAATTGATCCACATTTACGGCAAGCTCAGCGTGACAGGGAGCCTGGCAGGAACCGAACTGAGGTCAATCGCCGTGTTGCACTTCAACCTCGTTCGAAAGAACGCCCAAGCGCTCGTGCGAGGCATGCGAAAAGTTCCTCGCGAACATTTGAACATTGTGATATATAGCTACTTCGAATCCACACAACCGTGAACTGGTTTCCAGTAGTATTTCAGTAGTACGGAGTAGAATTTTAGTTTAGAAGTTTATTGTTATGTAAAATTCTGTTAACGGACCCTGCGCGAATGTGTGTTGAGGGGTGTGCGCATGCGCATCTCCCCGCCGCACCAACAGGGGAGCTTGAATCCGACATCACATCATGGAAGAGTTAATTGCTTATCTTTAGTATTTCATCGGTCTACAATCGATCTGACAACCATTCTTCTACTTCTAAACTCAACAGTTAGAAAACACCAAGCTAGCTTAGTTCTAATGGGGAATGTTTAATACTTCACCTAGGTAACAATAATTATAGGGATTGTGTGATGGGGTTGTGGGTGTATGTGTGCTCAAATCTGTTCATTAACCATGCTTCATGTATCCCATCCCTATCTTGTCTCCCTTTTTTTTTTATACCATCCCTATATGCCTCTTTTTTTAAAAATTGACTTGTCTCCACTCATTTTTCTATACTACTACTTACATGTTTGTGAAAGGGGGCAAGCTCCCTATGAAAATTAAAATGCCTGTTTTCGTCATGGAAATTATGTTATGTGCATGCGTACCAAGTTTCATATCCATGTGTGCTGCTGTTAGCAGGTTGAGGAGTGAAGAAGTAAATGCCTGTCTATGCGTGCTACTATTGGAAAGTTTTGAGGAGTGAAGAAGTAAACCTGAGGCTCTTTGTTGTTATTAAATGAAAAGTACCAGTGCAAACCCTCGGCGAACTGCCAATAGGACTTTGCTCTGCGGTAGTAGTGAGGGAGTTCTCAGCATCCATGGCGAACCGTAAGGTAAATGTGGGTAACTTCGGACACTGGGTATATAACACTCGCTATTCAGAAACAAGAGAGATTTTCACTTGATTACTACCTACCAAAGCGCTAACAAATCTTCCTCGCACTTTGCGCAGCGAGTAAATTTCGAGGCCGGTGTAACGCGGTGTTATATACCTCCACCCCCCCGTTTTACAGGTTGAGCGCATGCGCGTAATTTAGGATATGACGTCTTTTCATTCGCATAAATACCGCGTGCTCGGAGCCGTACAGACGTCGCGAGCTTCGTTACGGAAGGGGACTACCGAGCTGGAGCCGAAGACGCGAGCGTCCCGCTGGCGTCCGATGTTCAAGAAGTTCGGGGTATTGCAGATGGCCCTAGAGGAGCTGGAAATCGTGCGTGCGAGCTGACCTTGGAGCAGGCGTAGCGGGTCGCGGCAGAGGAGCGGGCTTGGAGAAAACTTCGCCTAACGCTCAGCGGATGGCCGGGGCAGCGAAGGGAGAGGGCGAGGAACAGAGGTGCAAAGGAGACCGCGAGCGTTCTACTGACGCGACGGCGCAGGTGAGTTGCGTGAGTCTTTTACGGGGAGAGTGACTGGAACTGGCGCTACATTTCATTGTGTGTGAGCAGCGAGGGTGCAGTTGGGGAAGGAGGTTATAGCCTGTGGTATTGGGGTGAGCACTGTTGACAGTGCTAGTGTCCCTGGGACTACTAAAGCCCGCCCTATTCCTTATCGCTGATACCGCTAATGGTGTTAGTGGCGTGACAGGGGCACACCTGTCCCCCTTTGTGTGGTGGGAACAGTGTTGAAAACAGTGTGGTGAACTTGCACAACTGTTGACCCAGTTACAAACCACTGGGGTAGCTGCACTGACAAGGGCTAAGCCCCCCTAAAGCCTTTCCTCCTTTCTAGTCTGGAGTTAACCTCTGGAAATCCCAAAGAAAGGCCCAGTTACCCAATCTATGAAAAAACCAATAAACCTAGTTACTTGGAAAGCAGGCAATGAAAAATCCCAACTTAGCCGGCCTGTGCAGATTATTCCTTGTTTTTGCCCTATTATTCTTTTCCTCAATTCCTATGAAAGCTCCTATTATTCCCACACCATTCTCCCTATTATTCTCAAGTATTCTGAAGAACGTGTATCAGATTGTAAGTGTAGTCTCTGTAGCTAACTATATGGCGTGCTTTGAAGAACACTCGTGGGGAACACGGTAATCTTTCTAGCAGTGCCAATCTCAGACTCATCCTCAATTCTTACTGTAGCTTTGGCGACAACGGATTCTCAACCTCCACAGGCATTGGCCCCCATGCAGAAACACGCATGCTTGCCCCATCCCCTCAGCTAAAAAGCAGCCTATTATTCCGGAATTCTTCCCGCTTATCTGCACTGCCTATTATTCCCAAAATTATTCCGGAATAATCTGCACAGGCCTAGCCAGGGTGGAAGTTGTAGCGCATGCACGTCATTATAGGATGTGATTCACGTAAATGCTGCGTAGTGTGTCAGTACGTTGAGATTCAGAGTTATAGAATTGTAGAAAACTATAGGAATTGTTTGTTTCCTTGACAAGTTCTCACTCTCGCATGAAGTGAAGCGGAGTGCGGGCAGTGGAGTTACATCTCACTTGGGTTTTCTGTCCTTCTTCCTAGTTTGGAGGAGGTACTGCTGACAAAGAGAGCGAGACAGCAGGTGCCGGAGTCGTCCTGGGACGAGGCCTCCACCTCCCTCCCATCCTCACTGAGTCACCAGGCCCACCCCTCACACTTTACCAGGGAATACGACGTCACCGTGGCAACTGGCTCCTCTCTCGTTCAAGAGTAAGGTTTGTTTCTAACCGTCGCAGAGAGTCGTACCACTTGCCTGAACATTCCGACCCCCCTGTTAATTGTGTGGCTCGGCTCGAATTTTCTATCTATATATTTATATATATATATATACGACGCACCGTCGTCGTCTTAGTGCGCATGCGTTAATATTACGCGCTTCTTATTATACGACATACTGTGCGTAATTTTTTCTCTTCGAAGGAGATAGATTCATCCTCGGAGGATAGTGTTCTTCGTCGAAGAAAAACAGACAGAGAATCGTTTCTTCGGCTCGAATTTTCTCTCTATGTATGCCCGGCCGTCGAAAGTCCTCACGACAGAGAGGCTCGTCTTTTTGAGGGAAGATTACGAGATAGAGAGCGGGCAAGGCAACGATACTGCTTCTGTCCCAAGAGGAAGACAGACAGAACGCCCGGCCGTCCGAAAGTCCTCACGACAGAGAGGCTTGTCTTTTCAGCGACGATTAAGAGATGGAGAGGGGGTGCGGGCACATTACCTTTCCGTTGCTACTTTCTTCTGGTCTAGTTTCACTAGCTACGTATGCGCAAGCTGCCTTACTCAACCTAATATTATGTCAACACCATAATAACGTCTGTTACTTGCTTAAGCATTTTACCTGTACGTACGTAGCTATATTATCGCTAGTAATGATGATGGTTGTATATACTTGAGTTCTCGCTCCGCTCGCCCAAAGAATGCCAAGCATTTCCACTAGTATTAGGAGTTGTCACGTGACATCCCAGTGCTCCCGCCTTCTTAGGAAGAGTCCGACCAACCTACTCTCCCTGATGATGAGGTATAGCATATTAAAACCTGAAAAAAGGACCCTCCATATGACACATCTCTATAATGGACACTTGGTTCTGCCCCTTACTGGTACATTAGTGTATATCACCTCCAGAAAAGAGATGTAAATGACAATTTCAATGTCCCCAAGATTCAGAAGTTTCACTGTATTCCATTCTCCATTCCCCCATTCCAGTTATCATCAGTATAACACCAACTGTGTCCACAACCTATACCAGACCGACAATAATAACAGGGTGAGTCCCACAATGATTGAGAGTATGAGTGTATGGAATAACTGGAACCAAACTCTGCAGGGCACCTCGGAGTCGCCATGTCCCTATTCCATACCACAGATCAACTTCTCTCACAACACCTGTAAGCTACTGCTAATATACAGCATAACCCTTCTCCAAGGACATCCTTGAAATAAGGACACCTCTAATACGGACATCATTTACTTTCCCAAAGAACGGTGTTCTTGCATGCAATTTAACCCCTGAAATAAGGACACCACACTAATATGGACACTTTCTTCTTTCCCATCGAATGTACAGTACTGCCTTGTTAACCCTCGGCGCGCATGCGCAGCGAGGGTTACGGTAGTTGTCCCGTAAGTGTGTCAGTCAGTGTGTCTGTCTGTCTGTTACCACGTTTTCGGTGACTACGTGCAACGACATAACAAAATAGTGATACCAACGGGTTCGTTGCTACACTGGCTTCATTTTAAAAAAGGGGATTTTAGTATAACAACTGCGTTCTAAAGTTATGGCGTGAAAAGCAAGCCAATATGCAAATTAGCGCAGGCTTACCTCGACCGCGTCCGCTCGCTCTGTGTATCTTGCAGGCACAAGAAGTCACAACGAAGGCGTGTATCGACACCCGCATGCTATCTACTACTATACCTAGCCCGTGTCAGACTCTCCGCGAGCTACTAGCGGGATACCACGGAGTAAAGATACAAAGCCCAGCCCATCAATTGTGCTACCGCGCATGCGCAGTTCGCCGAGGGTTTGTACTTTAGTGCTTTTCATTTATAACTGTAAGGTGTTCACTCTCTCTCTATTTATGCGAAGTGTGTCCAGAATTTCGAAATGGCATCTGAGGATGTGGCGGGTGTGGTCCCCGATACTCCAGTGCTGGAGAGCCATCAGCTCAGCAAAGTCCAGACTCTCCCGTAAGTTACTCTTACTGTAGGTCTTAATGGAACTTGTTAGATAGCGAGTATTCTACTTTTCAAGCCTTCTCTACAATGTCATTCGTTAGACAGTGACATATTCTCTATGATGTAATTCGTTAGACAGTGAGTCGGTAAAATTTCTCTATGTGTAATTACCCTCGGCGCGCATGCGCAGCGAGGGTGTCTGTCTGTCTGTTTGTCTGTTTGTCTGTTTGTCTGTTTGTCTGTTACTCTATATCTTACTCCTCGAACGTCTGTTCGTCCCAGAAACGATACCATCTACCCAACGGGCGACGAAGGTCAGAAAATAAAGGCTGTTTTCTCTGAAAATGCTCCGTTGCAAAGCTAGAGCACGAAAAAGCCAATATGCAAATACGCAACGGACGGGATGGCTTACCACGGTCTGATCAATCCGCGTGCTCTGCGACCTCGGAGGCACCAGAAGATGCAACGCAGGGCGTGTATCGCCTCTCGCATGCTGTCTAGTAGTGTAGTTAGCCCGCGTCAGACTCTGCACGAGATGGCTATATGTGATCGTGCACGCAAAAACCAACCTTACGCCTCAATGTTAAATTATCGAGTACGCGTGAATATAACGCCTACACCAACCGGTATAAGCAAAACCACTTTTTTGCCTATAAGTAAAGCTTCCCGTCAGAGCTACCTACTGGTACCTTTCCTGCCTCCTAGGACGCCTTCTCGCCAGAAAAGAAGCTATTTCTCTGTAGCGGTGGTCAGTAAACGGAGCAGCGGACACGGACGCTCACGGCGGGGGTGTACGGAAATCTCATACACACCCTTTTCCCCCGCGAAACTAGGCAACAAAGATGCAGCGACTACCAGTCACTTTCCTTTACTCCGCACACGGGCACAAAGGTTCCTGAAGAACTTGGAGTGGTTGCTGAGTAGATCATCTAAGCTGCCGCCAAAATACGGCAGCCTAGTATGCACGGCTCAAGACAGACGGGAGCCGGCAGACGGCTCAACAGTCACGTAGCTGGCTAAGCTGGCCTGTTAACTGTCTAGTTTAGAATCTAGAACCAGAGCATCCATAGCACACACGGGCCAGAGTTTTCAGGGTAAAACACGATCGATCGAACGACCTGTCTAACAAGAGTGACAGCACGACGGTACATGCAGCTGACGCAAAGATGGCGCACAGAAGTCAAGGCGTTGCTTCTGCCTTGAATCGCCTCACAGAGAAGCCATTTACTGCTGCTCTGAGCCAGAGAGACAGGCACAACTTGTCCGACTTTATCGCGGACTTCTTTTGTACCAGTGCGGAAACCGATGCGGAAGGCAGCGAGGAAGAGGAGGAGCCAGGTAAGTGTCTCCGCGCCGCTCTTACACAAACAAACTGCTCATCCATAATCATAATTATCATAACATAGCCCCAGAGCTGGCCAGCATTGACAGTGCCTGTGGTAAGTAGTTTAGTAGTAATGGCAGCATGCATGTAGGATATCTGTGGTCTTCTGTAGAGGTGGAAGCTATAACACAGCACAGTGATGAGCCTGCAGATGAAGGTAGGAAGTTGCTGTTATGTGCATTAACAATAACAGTACTGTAACACAGACACAAGTGAATCACTATTTCAAGACATAGAAGCTATAGCATCAAATGCAATACTTGGATATCGAGAACGGGCAGGGAAAGCAAAGAAAGATCGGATGCAGAGGAAACAAGAGAGACTAGAGATTACCGAGGAAATTCATGAAGGAGGGGAGAGAAGATCTAAAGGTGGCAGGACAGGACGTGGAGCAGCGCTGGCAGAGGTAGAGGTGAATCACACAGTGGGAAGTTCAGAAGGGATTGGGACAGAGGAGGGAGACAACATGGGGGAGGGGGTTGGGACAGAGGAGGGAGACAACATGGGGGAGGGTGTTGGGACAGAGGAGGGAGACAACATGGGGGAGGGGGTTGGGACAGAGGAGGGAGACAACATGGGGGAGGGTGTTGGGACAGAGGAGAGACAGCTGGGGAGGGGGTTGGACAGAGGAGACAACATGAGGGGGTTGGGACAGAGAGGGAGACACATGGGGGAGGGGTTGGGACAAGGAGGGAGACAACATGGGAGGGGGTTGGGACAGAGGAGGGAGACAACAGAGAGGGAAGATCGGAGGGAGACTTTGGGGAGGGATTGCTAGTGGCAACACAGGAGAGGGGACCAGCAGAGGCGACTCACAGAGAGGAGGGAGGTGTGCATCCTCAGTTCAGGGAAATCGACCATTCAAGATGTGGAGAAAGTGGAGGATCTGTAGAGATGTAACGAAGCTAATGAGATGAGAGGACGGAGGAGGAGGGGGGAATGGGACACTGGAATGCAGGGAGAGAAGGGATAGGTTAGCAGAATCGAGGGGAGGAATGTAAAGGAGAAGAGAGGAATAGAGGCGCGAGAGAGGGAAAGAGAGGGAATGGGTAGTGTGTGGGTGCTCTCTTAACTGTTCGTCCAACTTCTCTCTCCCACACACTACCTCTCAACGCGGGTCTGATGCTCCAGCAGATGCAGAGGAGTGCAGCTTGCATGGTCTGTTTTTGATGAAAACAGTGATGGCGTTTTTACCTACTGCATGAGGGTCAACCCCACAGAGTTCCAACCAATACAGACACCCAAGCTGAAGAAGCGAGAGAGAAACAAGTCAACTTTTCTAACAAATGGTAGAAGACACGAGGAAACAAGGGGGGGGAACCAGCCACACCAACTCAGAAGGGGGGGGGGGGGAACAGCATACGAAAGGGGGAAGGGAAAGGGGGAAGGGAGGCGGGGGGGGAGGAGGGGGAAGGGGCCAAGGAAAAGGGGGGGGGGGGGGGGGGGGGGAAATATAGGAAGTGAGAAGAATGGGGGGGGGGGGGGGGGGGGAGAAAAGGGGGGGGGGGAAGGAGGAAAGAAGAAAGGAAAAGGAAAGGGGGGAAAAAGGGGGGGGAAAAACCTTCCTATTCCCTGCACGACGTTGGCGATTTCCGCCTGCGGATCTCAGTGTCACTACCTGGGAGGACTGGTTAGTCGCACACGCGCCACTCTGGACGTGCCCGTGTCAATTCCTCCTCCTACAAGACGTGAAGGCAATAATTGCCTTCATCTCACAGTATACAGAGAGCCACGGTCTACGGCTAAAACCACTGCTAGATCCCCTGGGTACAAGAGGGATGACATACAGTTGCTACCATCCAGCTGACACTAAAAGATCTGGTGGTCCCTCTACCAGAGCCAGCAGTCTCTCGGTCCCTCGTCCGGCAGTCGCATACACCACCTTCTGGCAAGTTTGGAGGGAACTTCTTGCCACGTGTAGTGTGCAAAACCGATGTCTGACTCTGTGCCTCTTGCAGAAGAACTCGTTCGCGGGCGCCGTCCTCACCTCGCGAAGAGGACCCATCCGAGGTATTGTGAACACAAACTATTAGGGACATTACACACACAAGACATTGTTACCTTGTAAGCAAAGCTTCTTTTTCGATTAGACACTCAGAGAAGCAGAAGCACATCTCATGAAGGCGACTAGGGCGAGATCCTTCTACCGCACGGCTGTGGAAAACTGCAGACATGCGGTGAAGTCGCACTTCACCAAGAACGGAGTCCTTGCTCTCCCTCCTCTAGCCTCGGCTTCTCCCTCAGGTAGTGGACCAGATATGGTCCACTACTCGTTTGATTGTCGCCAACCGGTCCACTACCCTCCAACCACTCACAGCCAGGGCCAATGTTTTCAAAACACGCAGAAAGTGTTGCTGTGTTTGGGGTGTGTTGTGAGGGTATCCCACGACAAATCAATTACCTCATTGATGAGGCATCTGACGTGGGAAAAGGAGCTAACACAGTGGTCTCCCTCCTGCATCACTTCTTCCAGCATCATGGTCTTGGAGAGGTTGATGTAGGTCTTCACGCTGACAACTGTGTTGGCCAAACCAAAAACAAAAACAACACGGTCTTGCAGGTATGCACAGTATACAATGCACATAAGTACACATTATTTCCTTTTATTGCCCACTCACACATACAACTCACAGTACCTGGCTTGGAGAGTCTTGACAGGGCTGCATCGAGATGTGAGACTCTCCTTCATGCTCGTTGGGCACACCAAGTTTTCCCCCGATTGGTGTTTCGGATTGTTCAAACATAGGTACCGACGAACCTTGGTAGTTCGCTCGGAGATTTGCTGAGGTAGTCAACATATCGGCTGACGTAAACGTTCCTCAGCTAGTAGGAACACAGACAGGAGAGCCAGTTGTTACTGTCTATGACTGGGCCACTTTCCTCGGAGGTCATTTCCGGAGTGTGCCACAACTGAAGAGCTACCATCACTTCAGTTTCACTGCCAAGCAGCCTGGTGTGGTGGTAATGCAGGAGTACAGCGACTCTGCAGGGGCATCATACAAAATGATGTGCGACGAGTGGACACCCTTACCAAACGAACTGCCACATGTGGTCAGACCCTCTGGACTCTCCCTCGCTAGGCAGTGGTATCTGCACAGACAGATACGGGAGTACTGTAGGGAAGGGACCGAGGATCTTGTCTGCCCAATGCCATCACGTGGGATAAAGGAAGAGAGGGTAGAAGACACCAGAGAGGAGGATTCACCACTACCACCACCACCACCACCAAAGAAAAGGCGGTGTGGAAAGTGTGGTGGACCTGGACACACCCGAAGGACATGCAAGGAGGACTAAACACACAGCTACATGTGTACAAATGCGGACATTACACAAACCTTATGTCAATCTCCCCAGGTTGTCGGTCCTGAAGCTGGTGATGGATGACACAGGCGGCGTCTAGGACCAAAGACGCCTGCAAATCACGCACGCAAGCGCGTACCACGGCAAATAGACACATCACACACTTCACTTACACATTCTCTTCTCTGCGTACGTGCTGTACTGACGTCCAAACTGAATAGACAAAAGCTGCTGGGAGCAGAGTGCCTCCGGTCATCGATTTTCCGAGAGACGTCAGGTAGCCCGTCGTACTACCCGCGCGCTGTGTGGCTAGACGGCCTTTTTGCGTTCATGATACCTCACTTACGCCAAGATCTGCCACGACAAGTTCGGCCTGAAGTCTACTCAGCCCGGTAGGGCCGATAGAAGCGTTCGTCTGCTGTCAAACTGCACGCTCACACCGCATCTCTCTGGCTGGTTGGCTAAAAATTTCCCGGGAAAAATCCAGTAACGTGACGTCATATTCGTGCGCGGACAAGACTACGGCAAAATTTCAATCGACTATTTTGCGTTTTGTATAACCCCGCGTGGCCCGCGTTTGAAAAATCATAACTTTTAAAGCGTTTTCCCAAAAAATATACAAAAATAAGCCCTGTATCAAGCGCATTTCAAGCTTTACAACGATACAAAAAAAGCTACTTCGCAAAAATGCGGCGTAAGGTTGGTTTTTGCGTGCACGGTCACATATAGAGACCAGCCAGAACTAAACCCAGCCCATCAATTAGTGATACAGCGCATGCGTTTACTCACGCGTGCGCGTCACAATGCGCCGAGGGTTTGCACTTCAGTGCTTTTCATTAATATGGTAGGAAAGATTTTTCACTTATGGGTGCATACTAATTGTGTATGGTTAGCCTGCAATACTGTGCGGTATGCAGAGCTAATTATAACTGTCGGACATCGGTCATTTGCCGTTCATGTTTAGCAGGCGCGGCCGGTCAATTTTCATTTCCTGTGGACAAAATGGCCGAGCGAAAGAAAACGCTGCGAGAGTCTTGGCGACAATTCCAGTGCTAGCAAGCGGTCGAATCGGCAAGTAACTGTAACAAGTGAGAAGTGGCAAAGATAGTTCGATCGCATTGCCTCGTCGCGTTCTGCCGCAAAGACTGGTCACGAGGCACGGCGTGACGCGACGGGGCAATGCTCGTAATCCTGACGCATGCGCAGTAGCAACCACCCACTAATGATGCAGACCCTGCAGCTGGGACGAGTGGTTTGCATAGTGTGTATGTGCGTTTTTGTTGTAGTATGTGTTACTCTCACTGCTTGTTGATTTGTGTGACTGACCATGTCCAATCAATTTTCAACTTGGCCTGACATATCGACAGTGTCTCAAAAAAATTATAATTAGCTCTGGGTATGTGTTCAGGATTAGAGTTCTGCATGCATCACAACTAGTTGTGATAGTCTGTTGGAAATGAGGTTGTTGTAAATAAGTATCACGCAATATGCTGATTTATGATAAAACAGTTTATTTGTGGTTCCATGGTGTCTAAATAATAGTTGTAGAGTCTAAATTTTCATATGAACTGAAGAAATGCATAAGTTATACCAAAAAAAGGTAAGCGGCGAAATGCGGTTGAAAATCATTAAAATTTGGACGAAGGAAATCAACCCCTGTGCCTCGAGGATCCGGAAGACGGTGTTTCTCTATCTATCGTCACCCTACCGTCAACTGCAACAGTCTTGGGGGTTTCTGGGACCTACTGTTTGACGTGCTTCTGGGTTTACCCCCTGGTACTAAAGGTAAATGCTGGGTTATGCTCCGGTCACCACGGTCACGCTGCTACCGGCGCAACGTATCTGCTCACCTATTCAGACGACACAGGGTTTTACCACTTGGAGATGAGGTAGACTTGAACTCATCCCCGAAAAAGCTCTTCCTTGCTAACCTCACTGCAAGACTGCACGGACCTCGTATACAAACTGTTAGTTACAGCTGCCATAATGCATTCTGGTGAAGTAAGGGTGGGAGGGCCTACTTCCAAGGGCGGTGGACCTGCTTCCAAGGGCGGAGGGCCTACTTCCAAGGACGGAGGGCCTACTTCCAAGGGCGGAGAGCCTACTTCCAAGGGCGGCGGACCTGCTTCCAAGGGCGGTGGACCTACTTTAAGGGTGGTGGACCTACTTCCAAGGGTGGTGGACCGACTTCCAAGGGCGGAGGGCCTATTTCCAAGGGAGGTGGAGCTACTTCCAAGGGCGGAGAGCCTACTTCCAAGGGCGGTGGACCTGCTTCCAAGGACGGAGAGCCTACTTCCAAGGGCGGAGGGCCTACTTTCAAGGGCAGAGGACCTCCTTCCAAGGGCGGAGGACCTGCTTCCAAGGGCGGTGGACCTACTTTAAGGGTGGTGGACCTACTTCCAAGGCGGTGGACCGACTTCCAAGGGCGGAGGGCCTACTTCCAAGGGAGGTGGAGCTACTTCCAAGGGCGGAGAGCCTACTTCCAAGGGCGGTGGACCTGCTTCCAAGGGCGGAGGGCCTACTTCCAAGGGTGATGGACCTACTTCCAAGGGCGGAGGACCTACTTCCAAGGGCGGAGGGCCTACTTTCAAGGGCAGAGGACCTCCTTCCAAGGGCGGAGGACCTACTTCCAAGGGCGGTGGACCTGCTTCCAGGGGCGGAGGACCTACTTCCAAGGGCGGTGGACCTGCTTCCAAGGGCGGAGGGCCTACTTCCAAGGACGGAGGGCCTACTTCCAAGGGCGGAGAGCCTACTTCCAAGGGCGGCGGACCTGCTTCCAAGGGCGGCGGACCTGCTTCCAAGGGCGGTGGACCTACTTTAAGGGTGGTGGACCTACTTCCAAGGGTGGTGGACCGACTTCCAAGGGCGGAGGGCCTACTTCCAAGGGAGGTGGAGCTACTTCCAAGGGCGGAGAGCCTACTTCCAAGGGCGGTGGACCTGCTTCCAAGGGCGGAGGGCCTACTTCCAAGGGTGATGGACCTACTTCCAAGGGCGGAGGGCCTACTTTCAAGGGCAGAGGACCTCCTTCCAAGGGCGGAGGACCTACTTCCAAGGGCGGTGGACCTGCTTCCAGGGCGGAGGACCTACTTCCAAGGGCGGTGGACCTGCTTCCAAGGGCGGAGGGCCTACTTCCAAGGGCGGAGGGCCTACTTCCAGGGCGGTGGACCTGCTTCCAAGGATGGTGGAGCTACTTCCAAGGGCGGAGAGCCTACTTCCAAGGGGCGATGGACCTACTTCCAAGGGTGGTGGACCTACTTCCAAGGGTGGTGGACCGACTTCCATTTTTGTACATGCGCAAACTGTGCGCCCACTCAAAGGTCAAAGGTGTAGCAAGGTCTAGGTTGTGCCAGCGAGTAGCGACGGCAACTAGGACGAAAAGAGAAGTGAGTGTTCCTGCGCATCTATATATATCCTGGTCGCGTTGGCTAACATCCGCGTAACGAATCTATATATAGATCCGCCGCGCGCAAGTTTGACGCACTAACTCTGTTCCGTTCCTTAGTTGTGGCCCTGGGTAAGTACCGTTACTCGTGCCGTTGTTAGGCGGAATTACAAGGAAACGCAGTGCACGCGATAAGGCAACTGACTTGTTCTGACAAAGTGTCAGACCAAGGTAATAGTTAGTCAGACATTTTAGACAAATGGTCGGACATAAATATTCCGTAAGAATGATGAAATTACAACTTCAAGTTCAACACATTTTTTGGGGGATTTCTCATACAAATAATATGCTCTAAGTAACATGTCATCCACTTGCACAAAAAAGTCTGCTTTAGAGCATCTCTCAATGCTAGCTCTAGCCTATGAGCCAGGCACCAGAATACCACAACCCAGGGCATTGTTGCTGTGATTAGTCTTTCAGACCACCTGTAGTGCCCATGTTTACATTAGCCCCATCACAGCCCACGCCTATCAATTTAGACTCCCCAGTTGGCAACGCCCACGAAGCCCATAGCTGCTTTCAAGCACGTAAACAGCCCTGCTGCGTTAGTTCTCTCAGGGCGCCTGACCGTTAGGAACTCATTGCGGACGTGTACTCTACCATCCGCTGAGTAAGGATCACAGAAGACGACCAGGAATAGCTCATCCTCGATATTAGCGGAATCTGCACTCCCATCGAGCTGTAGGCTGAAGAACCTTGCTCTAGCTAGCAAATTCACAAGCATACGCTGTTGCTGAAGTGATATATAATCCACGAACGTAGCGCACGCTTTCTCATTCTTGTAGGCACTGCCCAGATCGACTCCGTGCCTCTCCTGTAGCTCACACAGCGCGGCAACATCTTGGTCTGACATTTTGACCGTACAAGTGTACACGTGGTCGGTCACGCGAGTAAATTGAACGGAAATTGACCGATGACCGGACGTTATCGCGTGCACTGGAAACGTAACACAGGAATAATCAAACCTTTTACGGAGTCACGTAAACGGGAGTTCCCCTTTACTACGTTTACCTAGTGGCGTACAATGAAGGCAGCCGAATGCACGCGCACACGTAATGTTGTATCGCAGACTTGTTACGATAATACGTAGGTTGAAATTTGACACCGGAAGTTCAACTTCAGCCGTGATTTTTCACGTTACAAGGGACTGTGTTATACAGCTGATGGTTGTGTTTAGTAGTAAAATATGTACAAAGACAATTAAACAGATGACCTAATATCTACTCTCTTCCATGCACAAAATCCACCATCTTCGAGGTCATAGGTATAATGGATGGGAAGTTGTTTTGGAGGTGAGGCTAGACAGCAGTACTTTTTCTTCCCCCTCAAGTAGGGGGTTTCCATGGACTTTGCAATTGGGAGTTCTCTCGTTCGGTGCAGCGGAATGGCACTTGCAATTGTGCTCATAACTTCGCAACGGAACGGGCTAAGCCCCTGAAACAAATGGCAAACTATAGAGCATTTATAGGACTTTCGGTCTAGTGCACAAAAACATTTTGCGATTTTTTGCGTCATAAGGGTCGTTTTCTCAGAGCCTGTAACATACAGTGGAACCTCTTTTAGCGGACACTCTGAATAGCGGACACCTACCGTATAACGGACAGTGTGCTATGTACCAACTGCTTTCCCACTCCAATGCATGCTTAAAAATTAAAACATGGACCCACCATAATATCCATACATTGGCCTTCCTTACCTGGCTTTCCCTTTATCTCTCTTCTTTCCCTTCTTCATTCAGCCTCAGCTCCATCATCAAGTGGCGGTCCCAGAACTCAGTCAAAGAGAGACATCGTCTCAAGATTCAAACAGGTCTGTTGGGTGGGAAGCGAGCCTGCCTACCTTGTTATCTGAAATGCAAGCACTTCTTTAATGTAGTATCCAATCTTGTTATCTGCTTAATGTGTATGTTTAGTATCAAATGTTGTATCTGAAATGCATCCACTTAATGTGAATGTTGTTTGGTATTGTCCTAGCTACATGATCCATAGACTTGTGCACTGTCATGCAACCACCCTTGTAGGCTTAGGCCTAATGTGCTTCAAAATTTACCTATTATTCTATTCTGCACTGCTTGCGATTTCCCCCTATTATTCACTTTTTTACTCCGATTATTCCATGCAATTATTCCCACATTACAAAATTATCTCTTATTATACTGTAACATGAGTGACGATTCTACATAATCCTTAAGAGATTTGTCCTGTTGATCTCCAAAACTAGATATTAGTAGTGAAAAGACTCTTTCAGCAGCGGCCGATGATGGCTGAACAAGGACAATTTTCTGAGCCGCCAGAGACCAGCAGGGTAATGCACTTGCATTTGTCTTCCACCACTCCAGTGGCATTGTCTAAGTCATGCACCTTTGAAAGATACGTAGGAAGCTCGTCCTTGAGACCGGCCCGCTCAGTGTCGTCAAAAAAGGGTACACAGGCTAGGTATTGATCCAGAGATAAGGCAGTTGGATTAATTTCCCTTACTTTGTGAGGTGAAAAAAGTCGGCAACATTTGAAAACATCAAGAGCATCTTTCATTTTGGTTGAAAATTGAGTATCGAAGTAGTCAAGTCCACTCTTTACACATTCTCTTGCATAGGTAACCCACTGCTGATGGTGTGGGTGCTGAGGTGGCTGCCTACTTAACA